TGGGGGGAGAAGGGCAGCCCGGGGATGGCAGGAGCGCCCCAGAGCAAAGGGGTGAAATGAGCTGGGCATGGGGCAGGGAAGGAGGGGGGATGGATGAGGAGTGTGATGTCACTCGGTGTCACCAGGGTGGGTTTGGGGGGGCTCGGGCCGCTCCCGGGGGTGGGAGGCCGAGGAGGAAGCTGGGGGTGGCACCCCAAGCACCCAGCAGCTCCCTGGGGAGGTAAATCCCATTTGGGAGCCATGACCCCAAATTTCCCTGAGCCTGTGAGAGAGACAGGGGTGGGTGACACCCCCGCAGTGCCCAGCCCTGCAGCAACCACGGCCCGGGGTTGGCAGCGCAGCATCAGCCGTGTCCCTGTCAGCTGGCACAGAGCAGCCCTGCGTCACCGGGTCCCCTGCCAGCTCCCAGGGATGCAGGCAGGGAGCCCTTCCCTGTGTCCTGTCCCTCCCTGCCTCATCCCCAGCCCCTCTCCAGCTCTTCAGGACCTGCAAGGGGCTCTGAGGTGTCCCTGGAGCCATTCCCTGTGTCCTGTCCCTCCCTGCCTCAGCCCCAGCCCCTCTCCAGCTCTTCAGGACCTGCAAGGGGCTCTGAGGTGTCCCTGGAGCCTTCTCCTCTCCAGGTGAGCACCCCCAGCTCTCCTAACCTGGCTCCAGTTCTGGAGCATCTCCGTGGCCTCCTCTGGACTGGCTCCAGCAGCTCCACCTCCCTCTGATATCGGGGACCCCCGAGCTGCAGGTGGGGTCTCACCTGAGCGGAGCAGAGGGGGACAATCCTGGGTTGTGTCACCTCCCACACGCCCCCAGCCCCGCTGTGCCCCCACTCCTGCCCAGGGGTTTGGGGTGGCACAGGTTGGCACAGGGGGTCCCCACAGCGATGCCAGCCGGGCTCAGCCTGGCAGCCCCTCCCCGGAGGGGACGGTGGCAGCGGGCGAGCTCAGGTCAGGCGCTTAAACTGCTGCGCTGGGGCGGTGCCAGGCGGGCCGCGGGGGATTAGGGCTCTGCTGATGCAGCCTGGCACTGGCCCGGCCGCTGACACAGCTGCGATCAGCGCTGGCACCGCCGCAGCTGCCGAGCCCCGGGGGGACGGGCAGTGCCACCCGCCCGCCTCCCATGCCCTCCTTGGGTTTCAGCCCCCGGGGGACACGCGGGTTTAGCAAAGCAGGACACCAAAACTCCCTGTCCCTTCCCAGGAAGGCGCTGGCGTCGTGACCATTCCCTTGTCCCTCCTGGGAAGGCGCTGCTCAGTTTCGTGCCTCAGTTTCCCCAAGCTGGGAATCCCCGACCCCACACCCCGGGGATGCAACACCGAGGCTGCTGTGAGCCCACCTGGAGTCCCCCCACCATGCAGGAACCCCCCGTTTGACCCCCGGGCGGCCTCCCCGGGCCGTATCCTTGGAGGAACCGCGCTCCCTAAGCGGCTTTAGGGGATTACAGGCAGCCCCTGGCCCTCGCTGTCCCCACCCAGCCTTGCTCCTCGGCTGCTCTCAGTAATCAGTTGGACAGGGCTAATCCAGCCACCTCCACCTAAGCTGCTCCAACACCCCTGGCCGGCCCGGGCTGCCCCGCAGAGCCCTGGGGAGACCCCCGAAATCGGGCAGCAGCCAAGGGCTAAAAATACAAAATAGAGCCGGCCCCGGGGTGAGGGCAGGCGGGATTGGGAGCGAGGGGATTGATGGCAGCGAGCAGGGGCACCGCGGGACAGCCGCAGAGTCACCTTGTGCCACCCCCTCCCTCCCCGCCGGGGATGGGGCAGGGAGCGGGGACAATCCGGGCACGGCCGGGACAGCGCCGGTGTCCCCGCTGCTGCTGCCACGCCGTGGGGGACGCGGCTACTGCAGGGAGCCCCGGGAATTCGGGAATGGCACCGGCACCGGCCGCAGGGACACGAAAGACTCTGGGGTGGGAGTCCCGAGGAGGGAGAGCTCCTTCCAAATGAGAAAATGATCTCGGGAAGCATCCCTGGAGGAGCTGGGGGATGCTTCTGGAAGCTGAAATGTGGGGGGAAAGCTCTGGGAGATGGCTGGGGGGATCACTGAGGGTACAGCTTCCTCCAAAATTCTCAGGAAGCTTCCATGGAGGATTCAGGGGGTGCTATTGGGGATTCTGGAAACTGAAATGTGAGGGAAACGCTCTGGGAGATGCCTGGAGAGAGTCTTGGATGGATCCTTGAGGGTTCAGCTTCCTCCAAATGAAAAAAAAAATCTCAGGAAACTTCCCTGGAGGAGACATGGGATGCTGTCAGGGATTCTGGAACCTGAAATATGGGGAAAGGCTCAGGGAGATGCCTGGAGGATCCCTGAGGGTACAGATTCCTCCAAAGGAAAAAGAAGGAAGCTTCCATGGAGGATTCAGGGGGTGCTATTGGGGATTCTGGAAGCTGAAATGTGGGGAAAGGCTCTGGGAGATGCCTGGAGAATCCTTGAGGGTACAGCTTCATCCAAAGGAAAAAAATCTCAGGAAACTTTCTTGGAGGAGTCAGGGGGTGCTATGGGGGACTCTAGAATATGAAATGTGGGGGAAAGGCTCAGGGAGATGCCTGGAAGGTGCCTGGATGGATCCTTGAGGGTACAGATTCCTCCAAAGGAAAAAAAATCTCAGGAAACTTTCCTGGAGGAGTTGGGGGGTGCTATGGGGGATTCTGGAACCTGAAATGGGGGGAAAGGCTCAGGGAGATGCCTGGAGGATCCCTGAGGGTACAGCTTCCTCCAAAATTCTCAGGAAGCTTCCATGGAGGATTCAGGGGGTGCTATTTGGGATTCTGGAACCTGAAATATGGGGGAAAGGCTCTGGGAGATGCCTGGAGAGAGTCTTGGATGGATCCTTGAGGGCACAGCTTCCTCCAAAGGAAAAAAATCTCAGGAAGCTTCACTGGAGGAGACATGGGATGCTGTCAGGGATTCTGGAACCTGAAATATGGGGAAAGGCTCTGGGAGATGCCTAGAGGATCCCTGAGGGCACAGCTTCCTCCAAAGGAAAAAAAATCTCAGGAAACTTTCCTGAAGGAGTGCTTGGGGGTGCTCTGGGGGACTCTAGAATATGAAATGTGGGGGAAAGGCTCAGGGAGATGCCTGGAAGGTGCCTGGATGGATCCTTGAGGGTACAGATTCCTCCAAAGGAAAAAAAATCTCAGGAAACTTTCTTGGAGGAGTTGGGGGGTGCTATGGGGGATTCTGGAACCTGAAATGTGGGGAAAGGCTCAGGGAGATGCCTGGAGGATCCCTGAGGGTACAGCTTCCTCCAAAGGAAAATGAAGGAAGCTTCCCCTGGAGGAGTCAGGGGATGCTATCGGGGATTCTGGAAGCTGAAATGTGGGGGAAAGGCTCTGGGAGATGCCTGGAGAGAGTCTTGGATGGATCCTTGAGGGTACAGCTTCCTCCAAAGGAAAAAAAAAATCTTAGGAAACTTTCTTGGAGGAGTTGGAGGTGCTATGGGGGATTCTGGAATCTGAAATGTGGGGAAAGGCTCTGGGAGATGCCTGGGGGGATCGCTGAGGGTACAGCTTCCTCCAAAGGAAAAAAAATCTCAGGAAAATTTCTTGGAGGAGTGCTTGGGGGTGCTATGGGGGATTCTGGAATATGAAATGTGAGGGAAAGGCTCTGGGAGATGCCTGGAGGGATCTTGGATGGATCCTTGAGGGTACAGTTCCTCAAAAGGAAAAAAATCTCAGGAAACTTTCTTGGAGGAGTTGGGGGGTGCTATGGGGGATTCTGGAACCTGAAATGTGGGGAAAGGCTCTGGGAGATGCCTGGAGGATCCCTGAGGGTACAGCTTCCTCCAAAGGAAAAAAATCTCAGGAAGCTTCCCTGGGAAGAGTCTGGGACTGTAGCTGGGATCCTGGAACATGGATGGAAACACTCAGGGAGAGGCCCTGGAGGAGTCTCAGATGGATTCCAGAGCTTCCTCAAAGAGAAAAACCAATCTCAGGATGCTTCCTGTGGAAGGGGACAGCACTGGGGACAACTCCTGCTTCCCAAAGTCTGAAACAAGCATTTATTTCTCCAGGTACAAAACCCTCTTTTTGGGAGAGGGGAATGTTAAAAGCTGTGCGCTGCCCAGCGCTCTGGGCTCAAGTATGGGGGTGTCAGTCTGTGTCTGGGGGGGCCCAGGCAGGGCCCATGGCTTTGGCTGCACAGGGACAAGGCACATCCACTCCTGGCTCCCAGGGGAACGGGAATGTGGTGAATAAGGCACCATGGCAGGAGGAGGAGGGGGGAGCCCGTAGTGTTCATGGCATGGGGGAAAAGGAGGGGCCAGACCCCACAGGAGAGGCGCCAGCACCGAGCTGGGGGTCTGGGGATGAGCTGCTCCCCCCTCCTCCAGGGGCCACGGGGAAGGGATTTACAGTGTGAGGATCCCAGGGGTGCAGGAGCCACCCTGGGGACACCAGGAGCCTCCCCAGGGGTGCAGGAGCCACTCCAGGAGCCTCTCCAGGGGTGCAGGAGCCTCCCCAGGGGTGCAGGAGCCACCCTGGGGACACCAGGAGCCTCCCCAGGGGTGCAGGAGCCTCCCCAGGGGGTGCCAGGAGCCACCCTGGGGACACCAGAAGCCTCCCCAGGGGTGCAGGAGCCACCCTGGGGACACAAGGAGCCTCCCCAGGGGTGCAGGAGCCACCCTGGGGACACAAGGAGCCTCCCCAGGGGTGCAGGAGCCTCCCCAGGGGTGCAGGAGCCTCCCCAGGGGGTGCCAGGAGCCACCCTGGGGACACCAGGAGCCTCCCCAGGGGTGCAGGAGCCACTCTGGGGACACCAGGAGCCTCCCCAGGGGTGCAGGAGCCTCCCCAGGGGTGCAGGAGCCACTCTGGGGACACCAGGAGCCTCCCCAGGGGTGCAGGAGCCTCCCTAGGGGTGCAGGAGCCACTCTGGGGACACCAGGAGCCTCCCCAGGGGTGCAGGAGCCTCCCCAGGGGTGCAGGAGCCACCCTGGGGACACAAGGAGCCTCCCCAGGGAACACAAGGAGCCACCCTGGGGACACCAGGAGCCTTCCTAGGGGTGCAGGAGCCACAGGTCCCTCCTGATGCCGCAGCAGAAATTCCTCTCCAGCCTCCTGGCAGTTTCCTGGCATTTTCAGCTCTCCTGCTCTGACAGAGCCGCTCTCCTCCTGGTGCGGCTGCGCAGGAGCCGGGAAGAGCCCTGGGCAGGGAAAGGGACAGGGACAAGGACAGTCAGGACCCCCTGACACAGCCCCACATCCCCAGTGTGTGTCCCCCTCCCAGGTCACCTCTTTTCCTGGGTTCTTCCTCAGGGTTCTCAGGCTCTGCCAGCGGGACAGGGGTCTGGCACCCCGGCATGGGGACACCGAGGGGGACACCTGCGAGTCCGACCACAGCTCCTCCTCGTCCGACTCGCTCTCATAGCGGAGGCCTGGGGACAGAGGGGACGTGCCACCTCCAGCACGGCCACCGTGGGCTTTGCTGGGTCCCCCCTCTCTGTGACCCCTCAGCTGCTCACCCAAGGGCTGCTGGAGGCTCCCCTGCTCCTCCAGGTACAGCGGGTCCTGGAAGTGCACGGGGGCCTGCTCGGGCAGGGAGCGCAGGTCGTGCACGCTGAAGCTGCGGAGCCGCCCGGCCAGCGCGCCCTGGCTCTGCACGGGGGACATGGAAAGGACAGATCAGACCCCAGCCCAGGGCATGTCACCCTCCCTGTCACCCTGCTGGGTACCTTGGTGGCTGCCTGGACAGCGGCGGTGGCCGCCAGGTTGAGGCCCCTCTTGCCGAAGCTCAGCGCGGTCTCGTAGCCGCGCTCACGGGCGCGCACCAGGAAGGCGTCGATGTCCTGAGAGACAAACGGGGATGTGCTGGCAGGGCAGGGTGGTGGCCTGGGCACTGCCACCTCTGGGGCATGGCCAGGTCCCTGGGCATCGTCACTTCCCAGGGCATCCCCGTGTCACTGGGTGTTGTCACCTCCCTGGGCACTGTCACTCCCCAGTGCATCCCCGCATCCCAGGGCACTGTCCCCTCCCAGGGCAATGCCATGTCCTGGGACATTCCCTGAGCATTGTCAACCTCCAGCACATCACCATGTCCCTGAGCATTGTCACCTCCCAGGGCATTGTCACTTCCAGGGCATCACCATGTCCCAGGGCACTGTCACCTTCCAGGGCATCACCATGTCCCTGGGCACTGTCCCCTCCCAGGGCAATGCCATGTCCTGGGACATTCCCTGAGCATTGTCAACCTCCAGCACATCACCATGTCCCTGAGCATTGTCACCTCCCAGGACACTGTCACTTCCAGGGCATCACCATGTCCCAGGGCACTGTCACCTTCCAGGGCATCACCATGTCCCTGGGTATTGTCACCTCCCAGGGCATTCCTATGTCCCTGAGCATTGTCACCTCCCAGGGCAATGCCATGTCCTGAAGCATTCTCTGAGCATTGTCATCCCCCAGGGCATCACCATGTCCCTCAGCATTGTCACCTCCCAGGACACTGTCACTTCCAGAGCATAAGCATGTCCCTAGGTACTGTTACCTTCCAGGGCATCACCATGTCCCTGGGCATTGTCACCTCACAGGGTATTGTCACCTCCCAGGGCAATGCCATGACCTGGGGCATTCCCTGAGCACTGTCACCTCCCAGGGTATTGTCACTCCCAGGGAACTGTCACCCCCCCCAGTGCAGCCCCATGTCCCAGGGCATTGTCACCCCACAGGGCAATGCCACGATCTGGGGCATTCCCTGAGCATTGGCACCTCCCAGTGTATCCCCATGTCCCTGAGCATTGTCACCTCCCATGACCTGGGGCATTCTCTGAGAATTGTCCCCTCCCAGGGCAATGCCATGTTCCTGAACACTGTCACCTCCCAGGGCATTGTCACCTCTCAGGGCAATGCCATGACCTGGAGCATTCCCTGAGTTCCCTGAGCATTGTCACCCCCCAGTTCATCACCATGTCCCTGAGCATTGTCACCTCTCAGGGCAATGCCATCACCTGGGGCACTCCCTGAGTTCCCTGAGCATTGTCACCCCCCAGTGCACCCCCACATCCCTGTGCATTATCACCTCCCATGACCTGGAGCAATGCCACATCCCCGGGCTGCCACCACCCCAACTCGAGGAGGGGCTGACCCCCCCAGGCCGGGCAGGGGGACCCCCAGAACCCCCGGATTTTGGGGTTTTACCTTCTCCCTGCGGGCCAGCGTGGGGTGCACGAAGCGGCGGTAGAGCAGGCTGGCCCCGCGCGTGTACGGGGACAGCAGCCAGATGACAAAAGCCATCTTCACCTCGTAGTAGAAGGGGAGCCTGGGCAAAAAGGCAGGAGATGGGGGGGTCCAAAGGCACCTCATGGTCCCCTCACACATCTGGGGGGGTTTGGGGACAGGCAGAGTCCCTCCCCAGGCTCACCAGGAGATGAGGAGGTCGGTGAAGGTCTCTGTGGTCATGAAGAGAGCGAAGACGATCCAGTACATCATCCATCGGACCTGGGGAGCCACAGGGAGCACATCAGGGACACTGGGGGCTGGGAAAAGGGGGGCTGGAGCCCAGAAAGGGGCACTGGAGACTGGAAAGAGGGACTGGAGACTGGGAAAAGGGGCTGAACCCCAGAAAGGGGCACTGGAGCCTGGGAAAAGGAAACTGGAGCTCAGGGAAAAGGGGGGACTAGAGCCTGGAAAGGGGGGAATGGAGCCCAGCAAGAGGGGGGGACTGGAGCCCCAGAAAGGAGGACTGGAGTCTGGGGAAAGAGGGGGAATGGAGGCCCAGAAAAGGAGAGAGTACTAGAGCCCTGGGAAAAGGGTGGCTGAACTCTGGAAATGGGACACTGGAGTCTGGGGAAAAGGAGGGGTGAACCCCAGAAAGGGTAACTGGGGACTGGAAAGGGGGATTGGAGCCCCAGAAAGGGGGGGACTGGAGCCCCAAGGAAAAGGGGGGTGACAAGAGCCCCAAGAAAAAGGCAGGGGGATTGGAGCCCTGGAACCCCAGGAAAAGAGAGGACGGGAGCCCCAAGAAAAGGGGGGACTGGAGCCCAAGGAAAAGGGCTCCCCAAGCACTTGACTCACGTATTCCCGGATGTTTTTCGTCTTCACAGCCTTGTAGGAGGCGTAGGCCGGGTAGAGCATCCCGAAGAGTAGCCTGTAGCGCAGGGCGGGGGTGAGGCAGCTCGGCCAGCCCGCATAGAGCAGCAGCAGCCCGGCCCAGCAGAGCCGCCGGGCCCGGCGCTGCAGCCCGGCCTGGAGCCCCTCCAGCACCGAGCCGAGCCCGGGACAGCGGCCCGGGAGGCTCCGGGGAGGCTCGGCCATGAGCACCGTGCAGCTCCCAGGGCCCCGGGACCGGCCCGACCTGTCCGGGCAGGGCAGGGCCCGGGCTGCGCCCCGCGGGCTCCGTCCCCGGTGCCAGGCTCGGTGCCGGGGCTGAGGGAGGTGCCAGCAGCCCAAACACCCACCTGGTGGCCCTGCTCTGGGGAATTCCTGCCAGGGAATGGGGAAATGGGGGGACCCTCTGGGCAGGGATCCTGCCAGGGAATGGGGCATCCTCAGAGCAGGGACCCCGTCAGGAAATGGGGGAACCCTGTGGGCAGAGACCCTCTGAGCAGGGACCCTCAGAGCAGGGACCCCTCCAAGAAATGGGGGGATGCTCTCAGCAGGGACCACGCCAGGGAATGGGGAAATGGGGGGAACCCTCTGGGCAGAGACCCCGCCAGGGAATGGGGGCACCCTGTGGGCAAAGACCCCACTAGGAAACGGAGGAACCCTCAGAGCAGAGACTCCGCCAGGAAATGGCGGGGGGGCCCTCTGGGCAGGGACCCTCTGAGCAGATCCCGCCAGGAAATGGGGGCACCCTGCGGGCAGAAACCCCGCAAGGAAATGGGGGCATCCTCAGGGCAGACCCTGCCAGGAAATGGGGGCGTCCTCTGGGAAGGGACCCCGCCAGGAAATGGGGGGACCCTCTGAGCAGAGACCCCACCAGGGAATGGAGGGACCCTCTGAGCAGAGACCCCACCAGGGAATGGAGGGACTCTCACAACAGAGACCCGGCCAGGAAACGGGAGAACCCTCAGGGACCCCCCCGGATAGGGCAGGGCCTCCTCAGGGGACCCCCACCCATGGGCGATGCAGAGCACCCCAGCCGTGCCCACCCTGCCCAGGCCGGGCAGGGAGGCCCAGCAGCAGCTCAGGGACCCATTCTGGGGGGTGGCATGGTTGGGGGGGCGGTGTTGGTTACCCCCATAGGAAAATTTAGGGTTACCCCGCCGGGGGCCTCTCCGAGGAGTCCCCGCTGCGGGCCCAGCACGGGGATCCCCGTTAATGAACGGGAGGAATGGGGGACCGGGAATGGGGGACCGGGAATGGAGAATCCCTTTGACCCCCCCCGCCCCCCTCCGCCCTCCCGTTACACCGCCCGGACCCCACTCACACAATCACCCGGCTGAGGATCCAGGACACCATGGCGCGGCCGGGGCTGAAGGGCCGGGGGGTGCCGGGCGGGAGGGGCGGTGCTGCGGCCCCTGGGAACTCCCAAATCCCCCCAAGTTTCCCCCGAACCCCAAGGGAGCGAATCCCAAAAGTTGAAAGTTGCAGCAACCGAGCCGCGCAGGCGCGGTCCGGGCCCCACCGGCCGCTCTTAAAAGGGCAATGGTCTTAAAAGGGCAACGGAGCTTCTTAAAAGGGCAATGCCCTTAAAAGGGCAACAGAGCCTTTTAAAAGGGCAACAGGGCCCCTTAAAAGTGACCCACGGGTGAAGCGGTGAGCCGCAGCTTTATAAAATAAAAACATTTTATAAATTGCCTAAATATATTAAATATCAATATAGCTATATAATACATATTATATAAATATGCATTATATCAATATATATCGATATATCTATATATTTATATTATACATACATAATATGTATAATATATAATATATAATATAATATGTAAAATATAATATCATCTATAATGTATATAATATATTAATATAACAATATTGTAATCATTCACATATATATTGTAATTATTGATATAATTATAATAATTATATAGTATATTATATTTTATATATAATATCAATATAGTATATATTTATTATGTATCATATATGGTATATCAATATATATAATATATATTGATATATTATATCAATATTTTAATTATATATGTACATATTAAATTTCAGTAAATATCCTAAACATACATAAAAATGTCGTGTTTAAAATTCCCCATATATATTGAATATCACTACATTAAATGCTCTTTAAAACATAAAAATTAATTCCCTAATACATATATTTTTATATATTAAAACACACCATTTTTAAATCAAGAAACTGGTAGGGAAAGGAGGGCAGAGCCACTCTGATTGGTGTTTAAAGGGTTTTTTTGGGTCTGGAGGGGATGTGATGCTTTTTTGGTGCCCTAAAGGACGATGAGTGTAAGAGTGGAGCCCTGAAAGATGCTCCCAAAAAACCAAAAGCTGCTTGAATCCCCTCTCCGGGCACTGCAACCCCAAGACTGACCCAGGGTTCCCCAAATTCCCCATCCCAGTCACGGCCACCACCATGGAAGTGCCAGAACCCTCCTGCAGCGCTCCCCTTGCGTTCAAATCTGCTTTTTCCTGCCAGGGAAACTGAGGCAGGGCCAGGTGGCAATGCCCTGGAGAAGCCATCCCCGCTCCCCAAACCCATCCGTGCCCCCGGGGCTGCTGTTACCTGCAGAGGATCTTTATTTGTGCTCTTAATTGCTGGTTTTTCACATGCATATTTATCCACCCGGCAACCAGGGAAAGGCTCCCCTGGAAAACCAGTCCAGCAGGAACTCCCCTCCCTGGGGAAGCACCTCCTGCTTCCCACCTGGTGAGAAAAACCCAAAAACCCACGTGGAGGGCCTGGAGCACCCCAAAATGAGGATTTCCCTCTCCTTGGGGCAGCAGAATGTTGAATGGAGCAGGCACCGAGGTGGGAGGAGGTTTCTGCTGGAAAAAACCCCACAGGCACCCAAAAATGAGGAAATTCCCTCTCCCTGGGAGAGCAGAATATCAGATGGAGCGGGCACTGTGGTGGGCTCAGGAAAAAACTCCACATGTCAGGTCAGAAGCACCCAAAAATGAGGAATTTTCTCTCCCTGGGGCAGCAGAATGTGGGATGGAGCAAGCACTGAGGTGGGCCAAGGTTTCTGCTGGAAAAAACCTCATGTACACCCTAAAATGAGGAATTCCCTGTCCCTGGGGCAGTAGAATGTCAGGCACTGAGGTGGGATGAGGTTTCTGCTGGAAAAAACCCCATGGGGACCCAAAAATGAGGAATTCCTTCTCTCTGGGGAAGCAGAATGTCATGCACCAAGGTGGGCCAAGGTTTTTGTTGGAAAAAAACCCATCTGTAGGGTCAGGAGAACCCAAAAATGAGGAAATTCCTCTCCCTGGGATAGCAGAATGTTGGGTGGAGCAAGCACTGAGGTGGGCTGAGGTTTCTGTTGGAAAAAAAACACCAAGTGCAGGGCCTGGAGCACCCAAAAATGAGGAATTCCCTGTCCCTGGAGGAGCAGAGTGTTGAATGGGGCAAGTACTGAGGTGGGATGAGCTTTCTGCCTGAAAAAACCCCATGGGTGCCCTAAAAATGTGGAATTCCCTCTCCCTGGGGAGCAGAATGTGGCACTAAGGTAGGACAAGGTTTCTGCCTGAAAAAACCCCACATGTGGGGCCAGGAGCACACAAGATAAGGAATTCCTTCTCCCTGGGGGAGCAGAATGTCAGATGGAGCAGGAACCAAGGTGGGATGAAGTTTCTGCTGGAAAAAACACCAAATGCAGGGCCTGGAGCACCCAAAAATGAGGAATTTCCTCTCCCTGGGGCAGCAGAATGTGGGATGAAGCAGGTACCAAGGTGGACTGAGGTTTCTGCTGGAAAAAACCCCATATATGGGTCAGGAGCACCCAAAAATGAGGAATTCCCTCTCCCTGGAGGAGCAGAGTGTTGGATGGAGCAAGCACTGAGCTGGGCCAGGGTTTCTGCTGGAAAAAAACTCATGTTCACCCTAAAATGAGGAATTCCCTGTCCCTGGGGCAGTAGAATGTCAGGCACTGAGGTGGGAGGAGGTTTCTGCCTGAAAAAACCCCATGGGTGCCCTAAAAATGTGGAATTCCCTCTCCCTGGGGTGCAGAATGTGGCACTGAGGTGGGACGAGGTTTCTGCCGGAAAAAACCCCACATGTGGGGCCAGGAGCACACAAGATAAGGAATTCCTTCTCCCTGGGGGAGCAGAATGTCAGATGGAGCAGGAACCAAGGTGGGATGAGGTTTCTGCTGGAAGAAACACCAAATGCAGGGCCAGGGGCATCCAAAAATGAGGAATTTCCTCTCCCTGGGACAGCAGATTGTGGGATGGAGTGGGCACCGAGGTGAGCTGAGGTTTCTGCTGGAAAAAACCCCATGTGCACCCTAAAAGGAGGAATTCTCTCTCCCTGAGGGAACAGAATGTGGGATGGAGCGGGCACTGAGGTGGGACGAGGTTTCTGCTGGAAAAAACCCCATGTGCACCCTAAAATGAGGAATTCTCTCTCCCTGAGGGTACAGAATGTGGGGTGGAGGTGGTGGCACCACCCGAAGGACACACGGGCAGGGCTGGGGGGCGCAGTGCGTTTATTGGGGGGTTGGTGGGCACGGACACGCCCCTGGCACGCTGGGTCCTGCCTGGCAGCGGGGCCGTGGGCACGGGGAGCTGCTGGGCATGCATGGAGAGGGACAGGAGCTGCTGGCCTGGAGCATTCCTCTGTCCACTGCTTCATCCACCTCAGAGCATCCTGGAGCATCCCATCATCATCCTCAGGGCATCCTGCTGGCCTTGGAGCACCCCATCATCATCCTCAGCATCCCATCTGCATCCTGGAGCATCCCATCATCATCCTCAGCATCCCAGCATCATCCTCAGAGCATCCTGGAGCATCCCAGCATCATCCTCGGGGCATCCCACTGGCCTTGGAGCAACCCAGCATCATCCTTGGGGCATCCTGCTGGCCTTGGAGCACCCCATCATCATCCTCAGCATCCCAGCATCATCCTCAGAGCATCCTGGAGCACCCCATCATCATCCTCAGCATCCCATCTGCATGCTCAGAGCATCCTGGAGCACCCCATCATCATCCTCAGCATCCCATCAGCATCCTGGAGCACCCCATCAGCATCCTCAGCATCCCACCTGCATCCTGGAGCACCCCATCATCATCCTCAGCATCCCATCTGCACCCACCTCAGAGCACCCCATCCTCCCTAGGCCATCCCACCACATCCACCTTGCCCATCCCACCCACTTTGGACCATCCCAAAGCCCCTCAGCATCCTGGGAACCCCCCACCCCTCCTGCCACGTCCCTGCTCGCTGTCCCCCCTCCTTTCCTACCCCCAGCTCCCAAACCCAAGACCCCCCCCAAACCCTGTCCACCCCCCCAGGGGTGCAGCTCTGCAGCACAAGGGGCGTCCCACAGCGTGAACCCGGGAGCACCATGGGGAAACTGAGGCACTGTGGGGCTGGGTGAAGGTGGAGGGCCATTGCAGGGGGTGGGACAAGGGGTGGTGGGCTCATGCATGTCCGGTGGCTCTCGGGGTGCCAGCTACAGGCTGAGGTCCACCACCACGTGCCGGTACACCAGCGTGTTGGCCTTGAAGCTGGGCGCCAGCAGCAGCTGCACGTCGGCCGCCGGCACGGCCCGGAACGCCCGCGGCGCCTGCACCGACAGCTCCTGGAACTTGGCGAATTTCTGCTTCTCCTCTTCCCACAGGTAGACGTGGGTGAAGGAGAAGTCGCTGCCCAGCGCCAGGTACTGCCGCTGGCCCACGGCGAAGGGCTGCATCACCATGGAGCCGCGGGACGGCAGCGTCTGCACCTCCACGAAGCGCTGCCCTTCCCAGCGCACCACCTTGGAGTCGCCGATGTAGCGGCTGAGGCACAGGAACTGCTCCCGCTTGGCCCTGAAGTGTTTGACCATCTGCACGTCCAGCATCTCGCCCACCTCGCCCTGAGGCACGAATTGCTTCTGAGCCCGGCTCCATTGGTAGATGACGGGCGCCTGGGAGCTGCTGGAGATGATCAGCCGGGGTTTGCCGTCGTTCTCCACGTACTCCACGTCGGTGTCGCGGTGCCAGGCGTGCAGGGCTTGGTGGGAGTAGAAGCCGTTCTGGTTGAGGCGGTAGAGGCTGGTGGAGCCCGCCTTGGAGCTGTCGGCGATGACGAAGTACCAGTCGCCCTCGATCTGGAAGGCCTCGATGTCGTTGGGCTTGCGGATCTTCTGGCTGTCGATGTCCTGGATCTTGATGAACTTGTCCACGGCCGTGTCCCAGCGGTAGATGTAGGAGCCGCCAAAGAGCTGCGCCACCACCACGTAGAGCTGCTCCTGCGCCACGATGGGCTTGCAGTGCACCGCCGAGTGAGCTGGGGACAGAACACAGAGTCACACCAGGCCAGGGCACCCCAAAGAGGGTCCCGGC